CCCCATAAACAAATAATAAGATGTTAGTTAGATAATAGGCAATAAAAGAAGTAGGGCAAAGTGGAGAACCACAATAATCGAGGACAAAAAGGAATTCAGAGTGAGCCATTTCTACAAGGGCTATTATACTAGATTTAAACTGGTCTCTTTTTTTCTAGAAACTTTATACCAATTTATGTTTCTTACCATAGCCAAAGTCATCCTCTCCAAAGGGAATTTTTTACATGCTATTCTGCTGTGAAATCAAAGGCTCACAAAGAAAAAAAATTCTCACTCTTTTTTAGAGAAAAAGAAATGCTAACAATTCCATAGGTTTTCACAAAAGCATACAGTTGTATAATCACAATCACAGTCAAGATATTGAATACTACGAGGGCGTCTGGGTGGCTCAGTAGGTTAACCATATGCCTTTGGCTCAGGTCATGATCCTGGGTCCAGGGATCCAGCCCCTGCTTCAAGGTCCTTGCTGGGCTCCCTGCTCAGCAGGGAGTCTGCTTCTCCTTCTCCCTCTGCTCCTCCCCCTGTTCATGCTCTCTCTCTCTCTCTCTCCTCTCTCTCATACTCCCTCTGTCTCTCAAATAAATAAAATCTTTTTTAAAAAGATGCTGAACACTTCCATCAGCACCCAAATTCTTCCCTGTCCCTACACAGCGAGTCCTTTGTGCAATCCCAGGCCTTTGCAACCAGTGATCTGCTTTCCGTGCCTATAGTTTGTTCTATTCCCAAATATCCTAAGTGGAGTCATACATTTAGGGCCTTCGGAATTGGTTTCCCAACTTTGCGGAATACTTTAGAGATTCATTAATGCTGTGGTATGTGTCAGAAGTTCATTTCTGTTGCTGAGCAGTATGCCCATTGTGGTGCCCTGAGGAGCCAAAACAGAGCCTATGGCAAAGGAGAACTATGCACCCCTATCTATGTGTTGTTATGAATTTTATGGGTATTTTCTTTCTTGAACATTTAAGTAGCTAAAAAGTATTGAAAATTAGAAAATTAGGTGTATTTAAATCCACATTAAGTATAAAAATTTTATTTTATACCAAAGCAGAATTCATTGTAATTTTGCTTTCCTGGCTTTAATGGAAGCAAATTCATTATTAGTATTTTCAAAATTTACTTATTTGCTTATCTCATTTCCTTTTGCAGAAGATATTGTATGAAGATTAGTATTGTTTAAAAAAAATCTCAAGGTCACTTCAGGGGCGCCTATTTGGCTCAGTTGGTGGAACATGCAACTCTTGATCTCAGGGTTGTGAATTCTAGCCCCATATTAGATGAAGAGAGTACTTAAAAATAAAATCTTAAAAACTAGATCCCTTCCAAATTTGGACAAGATCACTCTAAGTAAAGTTTGTCAATCAGTTTTAGAAATCCAAACTCAATACTGATTTTACAAGTTGATAGTGTATATTGCTTAAAATTATGTCAGATGAAATTTCTTTAAGGACGTAAATTGTTGTACTATTTAGGAGCCAAATCAGTGGCTGGTTTTTGTAAATAGATGTAATCATAGAAAATAAGTTTTCTAGTTAAAAATTTTAAATCTGAAAATCCTTTAATTTTTCATATCTCCACCTCAAGTGTGAAATTAGGACATTTATACTCTCTATTGGTTTTGTTTGATGTGCATTTTTTCATAATAATTGATACTCTCATGCAGTGATTTGTAAATTTCTTACTTCTTAACTTTCCTTTTCATTTATTTTCAAATTCTGGAAGTATTCATATCTCTTGTTAAAGTTTTACATTCATCAAATATGCTTTAAAAGGAATTTGTTAAAAAAATAAAAGGAATTTGTTCGTTTGTTATAAGTAAATGGATAGGCCTTCTATTAAGTATGAAACTTTATGTATAGTCACATGTTTTTAATATACAGCTTTATTAACCTTTTTGTTGGTTTAAAACATCATTCTATACACATAAGTCTCATAAAAGTGTGTGAACTATTGCACCAAGATGTTTTCAGTTACAGCATATTGTATTTTGTCATTAGATATTATATTTGTTAATATTTGAGAGGTGTTTTTAATTTGAACATAAAGTGCCTTGATGCAATTGATCTTTATGCCTGTCAGGTGTTCTATAATATCATTCTTCAGGCAGGGATAATAATATTCCATCTGTCATTGAATTCACCAAAAAGGCATATGTGCTTTATAGCATACTAGAAACAGTTTACAGGACACCTGGGTGGCTCAATGGTTGAACAACTGCCTTCCCCAAAGGTCATGATCCCAGGGGTCCTGGGATTGAGTCCAACATTGGGCTTCCCGCAGGGAGCCTTCTTCTCCCTCTGCCTATGTCTCTGCCTCTCTGTGTCTCTCATAAATAAATAAATAAAATCTTTAAAATAATAATAAATAAAATAAATAAAAAGTTTATATTTTGATTCACAGAAGCAACATTTTTTCATGTTAATACTATGAGCCAAGTATTGCATAAATTTGGCATAATCAATTTTAGGAGGAAATACTGGCTTGTACACCCTTATATAGACCAGCCATGTTTGCTCCATTATCATATCTCTGGCCATGAGCATTTTTATGGTGATATAATCTTTTCCAATTTACTAAAATTTTACAAGCGAGACCATATCCAGTTTTCTTATTTCCGTAGTCAGTAGAACTTTCTTTTACTGATACCATTATTTGTAATGTGAATATACCTAATAATCTGACACACCTGTTCACAATGATATATATAAGGTATAGTCAAAATTATTTTGCTTCTTTTATTCTCAATAATTTTTCAGATTTACTGTATAATTTACTAGTAACATCACTATTTTACTTTGAATTTTATTAGACAAAAAAATAATGGATTCATGTATATGATCAGCCATGTGATTAGTTCTATTGACAGTAATGATCTATAAGTTCAACTAAATTTAGAAACATTCCAGCATCTAGACTTCCAATAATTTCTTGTCATTCTCTAAGAAGTAAATTATTTCTGCACTGAACATGGCATCTAAAATCACTTGCAAAATATCCCACAATTTTTGTTTCTCTAATTTTATTTCCTTCTGCAAAGCATTATCTATTAGTCTGAATAATTAAAAAAATACTTGCAGTTTAGAAAAGCATTATGATAAAATGTGACATTTTTTATGGCAAAAAAATGCTTAAATCTTCCAGTCTCTGAAACCTGTTTTTGAGTTGCAAATAAGAGTTTGTAGTATCACTGATAAAAAGCATGCATGAAAGAAACAATAAAGGCAGAGACTTTTTAGAATAAATGAGCCAGTCACAATTAATTAATTTGCCTTTAGAACATTTTTTTTTAAATAGTCTCTTGAAATCTTCAGCCAGTATGTGAAATAGATTCACTATAATATGGATCTTATCTTGGGTTAAGTCTATTAAAATCACTTTTTTTTTACTGAAAATTGGTAGCCACAATGGACCAATATGAAGATTTATTACAAATGGCATTTTCTTGGGGATCCCTGGGTGGCTCAGCAGTTTAGCACCTGCCTTTGGCCCAGGGCGTGATCCTGGAGTCCTGGGATCGAGTCCCACATCGGGCTCCCTGTGTGGAACCTGCTTCTCCCTCTGCCTGGGTCTCTGCCTCTGTGTCTCTCATGAATAAATAAATAAAAATTTTTTTAAAAAGGCATTTTCTTGCTCTCTTGCTTATACTTTTGTTTAGTAGTTTCTGAAATGTACATTTCCTTTTCTTTACTTTTTTATTCACAATTCGAAAATGATTATTTAGGTAACCCAGAATTTGCTGGTTCCATTCTAATAATATCAATATTAGGGACTTGATTATTTTTGGTGGTCAAAGCACTGTGTTTTCCAACCAAACCTGTAACTGTTCCACATAATTCTGATTCATTTCTACATGCATTCTTTCTCCTTTTCCAGAACATCATATCTATTATCAAATATGGCTTTTTAGAGGTTATATTTCTGAAAAATGAATTTTTAATATAAATTTGCAAAATATTTCTTTTTAATCCATGAGGCTCCACTAAATATTATAGTCAAGTAGAATTAGCTCAATTCATGTAGATTATATTTAACAATCAAATATATGTACATAAAAGTTTGTGTCAAAAATGTAAAAACTCCCTTGTGAACCGTTGGTAGAAATGCAAAATGGTGCGGCTGCTGTAGAAAACAGCATGGCAGTTCCTCAAAAACTCAAAATCAGAATTACCATAGGGCCAGTTATTCAATCTCTGGACCAAAGAATTGAAAGCAGGGTCTCAAAGAGACATTGTATAACCATATTCATAGCAGCATTATTTACAATAGCCCAAAGGTAGAAGCAGTCCATGTGTCCATTGACAGATTAATGGATAATTAAAATATGGTATACACTTGCAGTAGAATATATCCAACCTTAAAAATGAAGGAACTTTCAAAAGACACATGCTGCAACGTGGATGAATCTTGAGAACATGGATGCTAACTGAATAAGCCTGTCACGAAAGGAAAAATACTGTATGATTCCACTTATATGTGGTACCAAGAGTACTCAAATTCACAGAGACAGAAAGTAGAACCGTGGTTATCCAGGGCTGTGGAGATGGGGAAAAGTAAGGTTACTATTCAAAGGGCAGAGACTTTAAATTTTGCAGGATGAAAAAAAGTTCTGGATATTGGTTGCACAACAAAGTGAATATATATAACACTATTTAACTGTACACTTAAAAATGGTTTAGATGGTAAATTTATTATGTGTATTTTACCACGATTTTTTTTTAATTTTTATTTATTTATGATAGTCACACAGAGAGAGAGAGGCAGAGACACAGGCAGAGGGAGAAGCAGGCTCCACGCACCGGGAGCCCGATGTGGGATTTGATCCCAGGTCTCCAGGATCACGCCCTGGGCCAAAGGCAGGTGCCAAACCGCTGCGCCACCCAAGGATCCCATATTTTACCACGATTTAAAATTTAATTAAAATTTTAGTTTTAATTAAAAGCTACCAATTACAAATAGCAGAAAATTACATACCAGCTTTTTAGACAGGTTGGTAAAACAAAAAAGTAGTTTAAAAAAATCAGATTGCTATAAAGACATGAAACACAGTGAACTATTTATCATTGTTTTAAGTGAATAAAGTATAAAAGCATCCTGAGTTCCTGATTTTCTTGGTTAAAATTTTTTTCCTGGCTTGAAATTGATCAAGTTCTATTCCTGAAAAGTAAAACATATTATTAATGTATTTCAGAAATAAATATTACTTATTTATATGAAAAAAACTGTTTTTCTTACTTTTTAAATAAATATTTATTAAATAAAATCTGTATACCTTACATCAGAGCTCTTACTATTTTTAAAATCACACATGCATGTATTTGTAACAAAATAAAAATTTCCCATTTATCCTGAGGTACTATGGATTAAAGTTATAACAATGCAAAGAACTTGCTTCGTTTGGGAACAATTGTCATAACTGTTCAAAGAAAATGCTAATTGGATCATTTTTTACCTCCTTGCACTTTCACTCTCAGCTTGCTTAACTCTTAGGGTTGTCTATGTGCAGGATCAGGTTCTGTTTTAAATTTTTGTATTTTTTTCATTGTGTAGTTTTTACATCAGTTTTGTTTTTTAAATATTGCATTAATATTATTTATCTTGATCACTGAGTATTTTGGTGCTCCTAAATTTTGTGCCTGAGGCAAGTACATCATTTGCCTCATCCTGATCCTAGGCCTGCTCCCCTGTATGGATGTGCCACAGCTGGTTTTTCCAGCTGAATAATTTTTCATTGTTTCAAGTTTGGGACAACTGAATAAAGCACTATATATGTGTGTGTGTAGAGATTTTTATGAGAACATACATTTTCATTTCATTTGAGTAAATGTCTGGGCATGGAGTTTTTGCATATGAAGTGTACATTTACCTTTATAAGAGACTGGCAACGATTTTCCAAACTGGCAATAACACTTTGCATTCTCACCAACAATTTATGAGAGTTTCAGTTGCTCTGCACCCTTGTTAGCACTTGGTATTGTCAGGATTTTTTAGCTGAGTCATTCTAATAAGCATATAGTGGTATCTTGCTGTAGTTTTAATTGGATTTTCTCTAATGTTCATGACTTATCCATGTAATGATTTATGCCATGAACCTATTAAGAAAATGGCATATGTACATATTTTGAAAAAGATAGGTTTAAAAGGCAAGATGCAGGGATGCCTGGGTGGCCTAGTGGTTGAGCATCTGCCTTTTGCTCAGTTTGTGATCCTGGGGTCCTGGGATGGAGTTCTGCATCAGGGTCCCCATAGGGGACCTGCTTCTCCATCTGCCTTTGTCTGTGCCTCTCTCTCTGCGTCTCTCATGAATAAATAAATAACATATTAAAAGAAAAAAAGGCAAGATGCAGAATATCATGTACTATGATTTTTTTGTAAATAAATATATGTACACATAATTGAAAGAACACATAAGAAATGTTAACTTCTCTAGGGAGAGAAGAGAAAACTCTTACTTAATACCTTTGGGACAGCTTAAATATTTTTATAAGCATGTGTTACTTTGTTGGCTAAAGTACTGTTTAAAAAATTAATAAAATCCATGCCTCTTATGGGAAAATATAATTTAAAAATCATCCAAAAACCCAAAAGAACCTCAGAAGATTGCTCATTTCTAGAGCTCCAATCACTCACATTCTAATAATCTTAGGACCGCAGAGGGCACAGACAGGGAGGCCATGGGATATCAAGAAATCCTATGTCTACAATAAGTAGTTATCACTTCCAGAAGCTGCAACTTGTAGAGAACAGCTCCTCACACATGTGCCAAAGGAACCTCACCTGTGCTGAGACAGAAAGGACAAGGTGGAAGGGCCCTTACAACAAAATCTGCAATCATTTTTTAAAGATTTATTTATTTGAAAGAGAGAGGGAGAGTAGGGGGAGGGACAGAAGGAAAGAATCACCACATATTCCCCAGTGAGCTCAGAACCCATGAAATCATGACCTGAGCCAAAACCAAGAGTCATTAGACTATGCTACCCACACAGCTTTCTATCTAGAAAACCGGAAACTATTTCACCAGCCTCCCCTAGAAGACTTCTGCTTATAGCTTGTAGGATAAAACCAAGCCATGTGGAGGCACCTGGATGGCTCAGTGAATGAACCTTTGGCTCAGGTCATGATCCTAGAGTCCTGGGATCGAGTCCCACATTGGACTTCCTGCAAGGGAGCCTGCTTCTCCCTCTGCTTATGTCTCTGCCTCTCTCTGTGTATATCTCATGAATAAATAAATAAAATCTTAAAAAAAAAAAACAAAACAAGCCATGTGGCTGCCCATAGCTGCAAAGGAGACTGGACTTGCAGACAGCCATAGGGTCTGCCAACCAGCAGTCTCTGCACCAGGGTGGTACACATTACACATGCTGGAAAAAGTGGGTTTTGAGATGCTGTCCAAAAATACCTAAAATATGGCTTCTTGAATGACTATTTACAAATAACATTGTCAAACTAATAAGAAAAAGAAACAAGTGTGCCAAAGAAACACAGGGTGAAGAAAACACCTCTTCAGGAAAACAAGTGTGATTGTCCTTCTCAAAAAGTTTTTAAGAAAATAATATTGTATTCATAGTAATATTATAAATGTGTTGCTACCCCACACTGGACTTTCTCTCCTCCTGCTACTTTGTGAGAGAATGAGACCAGTAAATAGGCTTACCTGAAAATAAAACATCATAATTCTTAGACATGAGCAAAAGCCTGCTGTGTTCACATTGTGCTAAGCTCTGAGGAGCTTTCAATCCACCTGCAGAAAGAAGAGTTATATACGTTAAACAAATAGAGAAGTATGCCTTCTAATAATGAATCCTGTGCCAAACTGTGGGGTTCAAGTCACAGAAGGTTAGGATGTAAACAGTAGACAGCCACCATGGCTGTAGCTCCTCAGCCAATTCTCCTCACAGGGGAGTTTGAGCTTTTCCGATGGACTCCGTGTCACTTTCCTTACCTTTTTCTCACTTCTTCCCAGAACAATACTTGTCCCAATTCCACAAGGCAGAGAGAGTGACATTTTCAACTTCTTTCTGGCACCAGCTCCCCTACAAGAAAGCTACAAGTAAGTACTCTTCCAGGCACAAAAAGAGGAAAAAACTTCCTTCAACTATCCTTTTTTCTTTTGGAATGAAAAGAAAAAAAGAAGTATACTTCTCCTTAAAACAGAAGCTGGCCAAAAAAGTTTTGTCCAGGATTCTAAAAACGGGTGTGCATGGATGAATAGTTTTCAAATAATTTGTCCTGGAGAGGTGAGCCTTCTTTTGCCCTGGGTTAGTCACATGAGTGGCCTTTTTAGGCAAACAAACACAGAGCAAGAAAGCAGGCATTGTCCTGGGATTAGGATAGAACTCAAGCTTTTGTGTCTCAGTCAAGTCTGAGATCCTTGTTACATAAAATTCAACACTGGGGACACAGTGGATCAATTTGAGTGAGTCCAGGGTCTTCTGGGAGGCATGAAACTGGTTTAATCAAAGCCAATTTGCAATTGTGCAATTTTCAATGTGTGAAGACAGGAGCTATGGAGGTGGACCAGGATAGCTCTGAAATTAACTCCAGGGTCTCAGAGGTCTCAGTGAGTGAAGGAAGCTCAGGTCACAGGCTCCTGAGTGAATGGAGAAGGAATGCATTGAACGTGGATCCTGCTGAAGCTGGAATGCCTGCTGGCCAGAGAGTAGGACATGGTGCTTGTGATCCAAGAAACAAGAGCTGAGCACCAGCTTCTGATGCATCTGCATCAAGGCCCAGAATGGAGGGATGGGAATCCCACCCACCTCCAGGAGTTGAGCAGGAGGTATCATTTCAGAGGGGACTGTCATTCATCTGCAGATTGGTGAGGATTGTTTTCTCTATAACAGGCTGTGCCTGGTGGGGATGGGGGTGAGGAGGATGGCAACAGCTGATCTATCACTTAAAAGTTAGACAAAGGTCCTGTTTAGACATTAGAAATACCGTGGTGTTGGAGCGGGTGGGGAAAGACGAGGCGGGCAGTTATTTCAACAATTCATAGAAAGGAACCTGAAAGGGGGACTATGAGACTTCTCGTTAATCTGGCAACTGAGGTTCTTGAGCACTGTTACACGCAACATGAAAATCTAAAAGAATGTGATCAGTTGTACTCAAATTCATGAAGCAGGTAAATCCAATCACACATACAGCATAACCCTCATCCAGCTATTATCTGAAACAATTTTTTGAAGCCATATCAGAGGCACTAAAATTTAGTGATTGAAGGCAAAGGCTTTGAAACCAGAGAAGCTGAAACCAAGTTCTAGTTCTGCCACTTGTTTGGGAAGTAATCCCAGGAAACATCAGGCAGAGAGTAAGGAAATAAAACAAGAAAAGGAAGGAAACTAATAAAGGGTCTATTATCAACTCATCTGTCACGGGCACAGTTGGAGCACAATCCTGGCTGGGAAATCCTATCAGACAGAGCAGAGATTACCTCAGAGTTGTCCCAACCCAGGGCTAGGAAGCTGGGGTATTTATCTACCAATCTCTGTCCACCATTGCTTCAGAGCTGCTCCAGGAGGCATTAACTCTCTGGCACTCTGGCTCACCACAATGCTGCTAATATATTCCCAGGACCAGAACAAAGCCCTCGGGGTAGAGAATCTCAGGTGTTCATAGTAAGCAGGCTTGGGGAGGAGAACAGAAGAGTGGGCCATTGGCCATGTAAGCCACTCAAAGTAACAGGGCTCACCCTCATGTAGTTCAGAAAACATTTGCAGAGACATTACCACACTTTATCTTCACTACCAACCTGAAAGATTGTAAATTGTACTTTAAAGGATGGAAAACTGCCCATCAGAATAGCTGAGCCACCCACAGGCCGAGTAGCATGAGGGCTATGAAAGAATCCACCTGCCTGGAGGGCTGCTGAAGGAGAGTCCACAGTAGAACAAGAAGAGGAAGAAACTATTGAAAGTCTGGGCTGATATTATAAGTATGTTCTGTGACAAGAATTCTCACTCTGAATTCAAGAGGGAATCATAGAAGGGTTTTCGAAGTTGGGGTTGGAGGAGGAGGTGAGATAGAGGAGACCAAGCGAGAGTCCACAGAGTCTTGTGCAATTCTTAGACTTGCCTCCTCTCCTGCCCCTTTTAAATGCCACTCTCATCCTACTGACATCCTTGCTGTTCCTTGACCACTCCAATTCCCCTCCAGCACAGGGTCTTTGCACTGGCTGTTCCTCTGCCTGCAATGCTCTTCCTCAGATAGCCACTTGGCTGAACCTCTAACTTCCTTCAAGTCCTTGTTCAAATCATTCTTTTTCAGGAGGACCTAACTACCCTGGCTACTCTATCCAGGCCATATCATGTCCTCACCGTGCATTTAATCTCACACTCTGGATCCCCTGTCCTAATTTTTCTTTTTTCCCACAACACTTAACACTTTCTGACTTCCTAGATACTTATTTACTATATGTATGGTATGTCTCCTCTCCTTGCTAAAACATAAACTCCAGAAGGACATCTTTGTTTTGTTCCCTGATGTATCCCAAGCACCTAGAACAATATTTGGCCAGTGGTGAGTACTCAATGAACATTGAGAAACGAGTGAACGAATGCCAATGTTCCTAAGCCCACAAAGGAACAAGCAATGTACCATTCTATGCCTTCACCATAACTTAATGTCCCCAGCTTCCAAGGAGAGAAGAGACTCCATCTTCTCCCTTTCCTGTCCCTATCCCACTCTTCCACTACCCCCCCCCCAGGTCTCAATCTTTCCTTTCCTTCTTGACATAGCAACCAGAAGCTTCCTCCTAGTGTGAGTAGGCATTTTCTTTTCACTTTCCTTTTAAGTGTCAGTGCTTTTGTTTCCCATAGGAAACAGTTTATTTGGTAACTGCCTGTCTCCTTTCGTTGTTTTTTTTTTTTTTTTTGACACAGTAGAGCCCCTGAACCATATTTTGCTTTCAGTCATATTTGTCAAAAAAAAGGAAAGGAGGGTAGGACCTGTTAAATGGTCAGCATTAGGTTTGGGCACTGCCCTTACATTGTCAACACTATGTTTACCTTGACCTTACCTTGTTTTCAGTGTCTGAAAACATTTGCTCTAATTCCAACAGTCAAGGTTAAGAGATAAATATCTGTATGAGAGAAGAAGATGGAAACTGGCCCATGTGTCAAATGCAGGAGAAAGGACAGAGCTACAGGCTAGAGAGTAACAGGTCTTACTCCAGAATGAAATCAGCAGTTCTTTTAAAAAGCATTTAAATAATTCTAATATGGGAGTACCTGGGTGGCTCAGTCAGTTCAGCGTCTGCCTTTGGTTCAAGCCATGATCCCAGCGTCCTAGGATTGAACCCTGCATCCAGCTCTGTGCCCAGTGGGGAGACGACTTCTCCCTCCCCTCCTCACTGGTGCTCTCTCCCGCTATCTCTGTTGCTATCTCTCTCTCAAATAAATACATAAAATCTATAAATAAATAAATAAATAAATAAATAAATAAATAAATAAATAAAATAAATAATTCTAATATGTAAGCCAAGAACTAAAAATTGTACTTAAGTTCTTGGAGCAGCATTTCATATTCTGATGCACCCTCATGAGTGTTGTGTAGAATTTGCAATTTTGCTTGACTAATCAATAACTAGTCCCATTTCCTACATCTAAAAATCACAAGCAATTAAGTATATGAAGAACATAGAAAATACGCAATAGGGAAAAATCCCAAGTAACCTTCACTTTCAGTTTTAAAGAGAATAATCTGACATAGAGGGGTCAGAGGAAGAGAGACAACGATTCCGAAATAGTCCAGAAACTTCTATGAATGAAATACCAGTGTTATAGACAAGAAAATTGATGTCAGAAGCTTGCTCAGTGTCACCCACTGACAATGGTGGCAAGATTTTTTTTAACCTTTTTGCTCCTACATAATCTACAAAAATGGACAGAAGTCTCTATAGTGCTGCATTATTCTCAGAATGGTGACATAGAAGCCATTTGAAATGACTGAGTCAGAGCCTGTCTAGAGAGTACATAGCTGCCAGCCCCAGTGAGAAACATGGACACATGTGGAAGAGGTCAAAGTGACAAGTGCAGCTTTTACAAGAAAAATCTAATGATGTAAGAAAGTCAGTAGCCAGGATTGAACTTGCTTAATTTATGCTTAAAATTGTACTAGGTACTTTTCTACCAGACTCTAAAAGCAGTAAGGAAAGCAATATTACAATACTTCATCTAAGACATCCTCCTTATTTGGCGTTAATCTGGCAGTTCCTGGGAAATGGGAACTTGATCACTACTTTAGAAATGAACAATGAGCAAACTTCTTGCGCATTTGTAATAAAACCTAGATCCTTATTATGATGGACTCTCTGCCTTCATAGCATGACAGGGTTCTTCTTGACACCACCTCACTGACTGGTCTCTGGGTAGCTACTGTTCTTCCTGTTTCTGGACCACATAAAGTACTACCCCGATGGGGTGAGGGAGCCCTTCCAAATTCTGATCATCCCAAATGCCATTTCTCATTTGTGGCACTGCTGCCACTGGGGACCTAAAGCTTTTTTGCTGTGGGAGGCTGTCCTTTGCAATGTAGGAGGTTTAGCAGCATCTCTGGCCTCTACTCAATAGACACCATCAACACCACCAGCCCCTTACCTGCCTCCAACCACCACCACCACCACCCTGTACATGCTCACTTGTGACAAACAAAATATCTGCACATTGCCAAATGGCCCCCAGGGACAATATCACTCCCAGTGGAACATCATTGCTCTAGCTGGTTCTAGCTCACCTTTCAGGTTCCAACAAAAATGTTACCTCCCCTGAGAGGCCTTCCCTGGTTGCCTAATTTAAAGTAAGTCCTTTTATTACTCTCTCTCACATCACCCAAGTCCTTTCCTTGATAGACATCTGCACAATTTATGATTACATACTTATTATCTTATTTCCTTGTTCAATGTCTATCTAACACATTTCACTGGAAGCCCAATGAGGGCTGTGACCATGCTAATTTCATTTGATCATACACTCAGCAGCTGGCACAGTGCATGACACCCTGAAGATGATGTTTGGTTAAAACCAGCTAAGTATATTATACTAACATATCAGA